ACTTCTTCGGATGCATCCGAAGAAGTGGGCTGTAGTCCACGAAAGCTTATGCTCTAATAAATTTGTTAGTCTCTAAGGTGCCACAAGTACTCCTGTTCTTCTTTTTGCGGATACAGACTAACACGGCTGTTACTCTGAAACCTGTCATTAAATATCCCGTTTGCAATGAATGCAGAATTAAATACACCTGCGCACTTAGTGGTGCTTGCCACTATGTGGCTTATTTTGATATTACATTCCATTTCGTTTACATTGTCCCCATGTTTCTGTTTGAGATGTGCCACAGATTTTTGTATGAATAAGTTGCGATGGATGGGGGTAGTGAGAGTGACGGGCTGCTGAGTAGGAAGCGACTGGAGATCTGAGGAAGGCCTGGGAGGCAGTTGGGGACTGGGAGATAAGCACGTTAGCTGGATCTTTTTCCTAACATGATCAGCAGTGAAATAGTTAAATTGCCATTTTTAGGTTTCAGAGCTAACCCACATAGGTGAATGGGGGCTGCCTCCTGTCTCTCTGAGTTCTCGCTTCAGGCTGGCTGCAGACTCATGAAGGCAGCACAGCGTCCGTTACGGTTGGTTCATATATTCAGAGTTTCCCTCACCGCCGTGACGACCCGGAACATCGTTTGTGTGAAATGAAAACTGGGACGCTTGGATCAAAATTCTGCAGCCAGGGCTGGATTCTGTGGCAAAGCCCCCGGCTGTGCGATCCCCAGGGCTCCGTGCTCTGCTCTATCATGTACAGCAGGAGGCCTGGGCTTCCGTCTCTGAAGCGGGTGGGACACGGGGAGGCTGGGCCTAGTGCCCTGCGGGGGTTAGTGCTCTGCAAAGCCACGTACGAAGCCTGGCTTTCAGGCCTTGGGATCAGTGGGGGCTGGAAGTGCTGCACAGACCAGGCCTAGCACATCTGGGGATTAGCGACGGGCGTTGTCATGCAGGAGACGCAGGCTCCTTTCCCAGTGCGGTCCTTCATTCCTCATGCCTCTTGGTGCGATGGGAGCCCTGGGGCAGGGAAGGGATGGGCTGGGCTGGAGAGGAGGTCAACATTTCAAATTGATCCACCTCCCAGAGACAGTCAGTGGGAGAAACTTACCCAGCATTTGCGAGGTGGAGCTCTGCAGGGCTTGCTCCCCAATCTTCTGTATTGCCTTGAAATAGACTTCAGCCGCCTCAGACAGTGCTGCAGAAACACAAGGAGAGAGGGCAGCTGGATTAAAGCTTCCCTAAATAACCGTGCTCCATCCTTGCCCTCTGCCCCTTTTCTTCAACTCTTCCCTTCTTTGCCACCTCCCGTCCTCATCAACTATTCTCCTGCCTACCCACAAGCTCAGAACAGCCCCAGGAGCACAGACTGACGTTCCCCACCTGCCAATCGAGGGTGATGCCCATGGACACAATCCAAGCTGTCCCCCAACTAAGCACAGGCGGGAGTCGAGACAGCACTCACCATGGAAAGCACGTAAGTAGTTATTGCCTAGGTAGACCAGGTTCTCCAGGGCAGGGTTAAACTGCTCCAAGATGCTCTATCATCCATCCAAGTTGGGGAGAGGGGTGAAAGAACACAACAGGTTAATGCGATCCTCCTCCATACCCCGGGGCCTGGGATGAGGCCTGTGCCCTCCCTTATGTGATTCATCCGACAGAGCTGCGGCCTACCCATCCTACCAGTCTCTGGTTTCAGGCTCAGGTACCCTTCTCACTGGGGAGGTCCCGTTCTTGCATCTTCTTTTCCAGCAGAAAGTAAACATCGGAGTGAGGTGATCAGGAGATCAACCTTCCCTCTGAACTTCCCCAAGTGCTACTACCCGCACCCAGAACCTAGTAGGTTTCTTTCCACCCTCAGGGGTGGGCATCACTTCCTGGCAACCATGTCATGAGCATCAGGGCCCCATAGGTTGATAGAGTCAAGGCATGGTGCAGTCTTAGCCCAGCCTCGTACGTCTATTTACTGTATTAACTGAAGGTGGGCAGTGTGCACAGCACCCCTTATTACACACCATACAGGGGCAGCAGTCTGGAAATTCGGACGTGGGATCTAAGCACTGCACAAAATTAAGGAGACGAGCCCAGCACAGAAAGGAAGCGCCCTCATTGCACACTCCAGCCCAGCTGGGCATGGTTGTGTGCAGGATTCTTTTAGAAAGAGCTCCGATCCGGGCAGTGTCTTTACCAAAAAGGTGCATTGTATAATTTGATCTGTACATCGGAGACCAGTCAGATCGGTCTGGTCACTCAGACAAGGAGCTGCACAGCCACTAATCTACCCTGAACTTGCGGTCAGAGAAACTAGTGTCTGGGCATGTTTGATTCGCCTGAGAGTTTTAACACTTGTCTACATTCACTGGAACTCTCTGCTGTTGAAAAGGTTTTTTTCTTCCCCCAAAATTCACTATAAGATGCCAATTATAAGCAGGTCTCATGCTGTATGAGCACGGGCAGATGTACACCTGTAACTAGAAAAACACCTGTAACAATGTGCATTCACGGAGAGACACCGTAATTGGCCTGGACACACAGCAGCACTCACTAATCCTTGGTGTCTCTTCAGACATACACAGATTTTCACACCAGTCATGCAGAGCACACACAGGGGAGCTCTCTGGCCAATTTCTATCACATGCCTCCCCTGGACACCTTCAATACAGGTGCCCCCCCCAGAATATAGGTGTTAGAGATAGGCCTTTCCTATTAGGTAACACGTAATTCACCCCTCCATTGCCAAGGCAGAATGACTCCCCACAGTGTATTCTCCAGGGCTTTGATCAGTCTAGCTTTACAGGTTCCAAGCAATGGGGCTTCCACCATTTCCCTGGGAGAACATTCCACAGTCCAGTAGATCCTCACTGTCCGGAAAGGATTCCTAAGATCAGCCAAAATGCTGCTCAGTTTCAGCCTGTTTCTTTCCTGCTTTACCCTCTTGGCTCCCTCCCTCCCCCCTTTCTGGGACAGCCCCCCCAGATGAGCCTCTCTCGCTCTCCCATAGCAGCGATTCACTGGGAAAGGTGCTCTGCCTTAATACAACAGAATGCCCAGAGGTTAGCCCCAGCACTGCCGGGTTCTGCGCTGAATTACACCACGCACCCCTTCGGCCATCACTCTGTTCTCACACCAGACCAGGATTCATACAGCCTTGGAACTACACCACTTTACACCAGCTGAGGATATGGCCCACAGATTTTCAAAGCAAATTAAATAAATTAATCTTAATTTAATCTCCCCCCTAGAACACTCCGTCTCTCTTGTGCTTTTAAATCCTTTATGAAGGATCCCCCAACCCCATGCGTCTCTCGCCAATTGGGAACAGCCCTTTCACTCCACAGCCGGCAGGGAGGTAACAGCTCACCTTGTAGATGGAGATTGTGGATCTGTAGGACTGCTCCATCTCACCAGCCTTTTGCAGGGAGGTGAGGGGTTCCCAGAGATCGAGAAGTTGGTGGGGAGAGGACGAGTTGTCCTCAAAACTCTCCTGAGAATCCAATTGCAAGGACCTAGATGGGTTGAGACACTCTCTACCTGGCACAGCAGGACACCAGGAAGAAACATGTCCAGTGTGAAGGGATGAGAACGCCACCAGGAGGTTTAATAATTCACCAGTCAGGATGCTAGAATTTGATCCTTGAATGTAACCAGACACCGAGGAGAGAGGAACCCTGTGACAGCCATGAGGGTCATGTGACCTTCTCCTTTAATTATTTATTGTAGGTTTCAGTATACAGCTCGCCCCCCCATACCATCATGTGGTGGTCCAGCCATCTTCATTGTGCCTCACCACTGTGACACAAGTGCCAATGGGGAAAGGGTTCACTGTTCTTTACAACCACCTCCTGTCTCAGACCTTACAAACTCACTACACCCAATACACCACTTTCATGGTTATTATCCACAAAGGGTAGCATGTGAGGTCTCCACTGAAAGCTTGTAACTTATCGATACTCATAATCATTATGAGATGTGTGTACGAGGGACGTTTAAGGAAGAATGTAGCTATACAGAAAATCACGCCCTTATGGCCTTGGAGTGAAAGTGAATCACCAGGAAATGATGTGTCTCAGTGATGGCCCATTCAAGTGGGAGGAAGTTGTCACCCTGTATTGCTCAGTTGTCCCCCTTTGCACCAACCCAGAAAAGTCAATGAAAAACCAGCAAAGTATAAACACTGAAACCACTTGGCATTGGCAGTGGAAAGGATGGCAGGACAGCGAGGGAATCGCCCTGTCTGTGAATAAGGACAAAAGACTGATTGAGGATATCACAGGGTGGAGAGAGACACTCTGCACCCATTCACTGAGGAGGTACCTTGATGAGCGGGGGTGCTTTGTGAAAGACGGGATCCTAGCTCCTTGGGGGCAGCAAATGCCTGAACTTTGGGCTGAGAATCTACTTGACTAGACGGGGAAGGTAACTATGAATAAGTGTAGGCCCTACTTCACATTTCATGATTTTGTTTTGTATGGAGCCATTTGTTTCCATCACAAACTTGTTTCTATTGAATCTCTATTTGTTCTTAAATAAATGTCCTCTTGTTTTACTATAACTGAACACGAGTGGTGTGTGATAGGGGAGCAGTGAGCTAAGGTAAAACTGCTAAACTGGGGTACACTCTTCCCTTGGGAATGGAGAGCCTGAGATTTCTGGGGGTATCCAGTGATAAGGGTCTGGACACCACAGGAGGACACTTTGAAGGCTAGAGGCTGGGGTGCCTTCATAGTCAACCTGCAGGGCAAAGGCAGGGCCCAAACAGCCCAGAGGAGAGCGCCTGAGTGGCTGACAGGCTGGTTGTGTTAGGAAACTAACACCCAGCTGGCACAGGCAAAGACTCCCTGCATTGGAGGCTGCTGCCAACAGGCCTGCGTGCCCCAAGAAGAGTCACAATCACATCCCTTCCCAACTCTTAGGGAAACAGAATTTGCTCAACCTGCACCACCAAGCCCCACTAGTGGGCTTCTTTTAACTCCCTCATGCATGCAACCTGGTCTGGTTGGCATCCCTACTCCAGGACACCACACTTCTGCCCACAACATATCAAACAGACCCCAGGCCCAGCACAGCTCTCAGAGGTGGAGAAGCCCCTCTCTTTACAGGTGCTAATATTTTGGATGAGATGCAGCAGAATTAATACCCTGATGCCTCATGATCATTATATTCCAATGCACTGCGGTGTATCCTCTCTTCTCCTGACCCAGTTCCAACTGGGTCGTTACAGCCTGCTGGCCCAAAACACCCAGACAGCTATGTGATGTTGCTGTGCATTGTTAAACAGCCACTACATTCCACCCAAGAAGAGGCTGCACTTCACTTGTGACTGATCCCTTCATACAGATAGAGGGGCAGGATTCTGCTCATATACACATCGGTGTAAATCAAGAGTGACTTCGCTGCAATCAGTGGAATTACACTGGTGTAAGTGGGATTAGAATCAGACCCAAAACCCTTTGGGATCTTGCAGGATAGAAGACACTACAGAAATACAAAGCTTATGAGGATCAAATGGACTTCAAACCTCCCTTTATTTCACACCTTCTAAGTCTCACACCGAACCCTCTCTTTGCAACACCGCCACAACTGGTTAGTTTGTTTTGCGAGGCAAAAATGTTGTGAGATTTAAAAAACAGAGCGCAAGAACGTGGGAAATGACCCGACGAACCGTGAACTCCAAACAGTTCCTACAAGCAAATAAATTCACCTCTATCAAAAGCTAAACAAAACGCAGAACCAATGAGTGCCTTTTAAGAGCGCACTGGAATTCCCAACCCAGGAGGAAGAGCTGGGGAGGGGGAGAATGGAATAGCGGAAATCCATCTAATCCCAAGGGTCAGATTCCTCAGTGGGAAATGATCAGAGAACACAGCGTTTAAATCATAGTTATCTTTTTATTCTGTGTTATCAGCCAATAAATGGCTCCCAATAAAGTTGGTTTAATCTTTGTTCCATGGCTGAAGCAAGAATTTTGCTCCTCATCACGTGACCCCTGGAAGGGAAGGGAGGGAGGGGAGGGGTTTCCACTTCTCAGCCCATGAGTGAGGACTATCAGCACAGGCCAGGCAGCAGGAAACATTCATCTGAAACCCGGAAGCCTCATCCCCTTCCCCTCAGGTCTGCTCACATCACCCTAGTGACCAGAAGCTGTTGGGAACTGGGAGGGACACTGGAAGGAGAGATGGGAGGAGTCACTGAGTGGGGAAAAAAGGGCACTGAAGCAATAGAAAGGGAAAGGGGAGCAGTCACCGGCTATAACAGATCAAGGGAAGATCTTCCCTCATCCCAAGGCTGATAATGGATCACAAAAGAACAATCACAATACTTTGGATGCAAAACTACTGCAGGGACTTTACCCTCTTCCTGGCCCCTTCTCCGCCCAGACCCCACCCACGCAAGAGTGGATAAACTAGTTCTCAAAAGTTTGTCTTTGCATCACTTTCAATGTGCTATACAGGGTGGGAAGGGCCAGTACCACAGATATTCTAGGGGAAGGGAGATCTGTTCCCAAGGTTACCTTACAGAAGGTCTGCTCAGGAGGTGGGAAGCAGTGTGAGGTCTGCCCTTGCTCTGTCAGATAGATTCAGGGCAGGGTGATTTAGGGAACACGCCCATACCTGGGGGAGTACCAGAGACTGCACTCTGAGGACAGGGGACTCAGGCCTCCATACCAGTTGTAAATTCCCAGCTGCCACCACGTGTGTGGGGGAGGTACGGGGGGGGGGCGGTACTGCTTCATATTTAATATCTCTGATCCCTGAATTCTTCTCACCAACGTCTCAGTCTGACGGCAAGGACAACCCCTAGTCCAGCCCTTCTACAAAGGCTGTTGCTCCTTGCCCGCTTCCTAAGTCACTACTGTCGGGATTGGGCACTGGTGCCTTCGAGTCTTCCAGAGAATCATCGGGTGAGGAGCTCCTGCACCAGCTGCTTGAACTGCTCCTGCTGTTGGCAGATGTAGAGCTGAGTATCCCAGAGTGCGTTCACTAGGATCGCATCATTCACCTCATCCAGCATCACGTCAGAGTGCAGCGGTGGGCTGAACCTGCGGATATCGAGATGCCACCAGGTGGGACTGGGGAAGACAGAGGGGCAACAACACAAGGGACAGGCAGGGATGGGGACACAAGCATCAAATGCTGCACCACATGATGCCTGGGGATGGGGACACATGCCACACTCAGGTCTTGAGAGAGGGGGAAAACAATATGAAGAGAGACAACCAAACAGATGGCCCAGCACCGAGAGAGGGGAAGGGCACCAGCCAAGAAAAGCTCATACCGGAAATAGTGCGTGTCTGTCATCTCACACCAAGCCCTGGCACGGTCCACGGCCGGGCCATCCGCATCAGTGCACTGCAGGGGGAAAGATGCCCACTCTTAGGTCACTGAAATCAACCTAAATGCATGTATCCCTCTGCTTGTAAAGTCAGGCTCCCTTGGCACTGAGTCCCACTGTACAGGCCTCCGAGGGAGAGAAAACTACATTTTGGAAACTTACCCACCAAATGATGTAGGGGAGCTTTTCTACCGGCCCTGCTGCAGCTCCCCATGGGGCTGAGCTCACTCTTCTAATCCTTTTGGTGTCCCAGGCCTCCACAGTTTTGTGTGCAGACAAAAGTGCAAAAAGGGGCTTTGGCGGTGATTCTAGTTTGGGGCTCTGGGTTCTGAGCCGTGAAATCTCTCAGATTCTGTTTATATCCTGGCTTCTGCTCCAGGAACACAATGCCAGCAGGGGTTGCATTCACTACGAGCCCTATGAGTTATGCTGGGGCAGCTTTCAAATGAGACCTGAAATGCAGAGCTCATGGCAAATACAAACTCCACAGAGATTTTCTGGTCTGTAGGTATAAGGCTGAGAAGAGCCAAGGAGGGGTCAAAGTTAAGGTTATTGTGAACAAAAATATTCCAGGGTTCTTTTTGTTAGAGAGAGAGAGAGAGAGAGTGTGTGTGTGTGAGTGGTATATCCAATCTTCTCTCTACTATCATAGTTTTTATTTAGGAATTTCTTTAATTTGTTTATGTTGCTGAATGATCATGATGGCAATACAGAAGATTTTTCTAAAAGCAAAATACCCCGTTTTTCAGGGCTTCATTTTTAAACCAGACCTCCAATTCTGCACCTGGAATTTTGCACCCATAAGTAAATTGCACCCATTTTTACATGCACAAAATTATGCAGCCTAATTTGAAAATTAGGTCCTCTGTGTCCGATCACTTGGAGAGGCTAACCTGGTCAACCACAAACTTTCTACACACAAGATCACCTCTGCCAAGAGACAGTACATATAAAATTTCTGGCAGAAAGCAGCTTGTTTGACAAGGTAATGGTGGCTGGTGTCAAAAAATCAGGTTTATAAAGTATCAGAGGGGTAGCCGTGTTAGTCTGAATCTGTAAAAAGCGACAGAGGGTCCTGTGGCACCTTTAAGACTAACAGAAGTATTGGGAGCATAAGCTTTCGTGGGTAAGAACCTCACT